ACATAACTTCCCATACTACTTCCTGCTGGTTGGGGGTGCTGGTAGTCTTATGGAGACTCAAAGAAAATTTAGGATTATGGTCAAGTCCTTACTGGAGTAGTCTATGAAACTGCATTGTCTGAGCCAGTTGCCTTGAAGCTGTTATGGATATTGGAACATCTGGAGACCTCTCAGGGAGTCTTCCTTGATCAAACCATATTAGCTTGGAAGCAATCCAAAGGGTCTCATCTTCTGTGGAAACAAAAGCAGAACCTCTTTTCCAAAGCAATGTATCTTTAGACAAAAATTTTGTAGTCAAGATACCTTTAAATACATATACATATATATATATATTTAATTTAGCAGTCTTTACAATCAAATGTCTTTCTGCAGTTAAAAATCCCAAAGACAATATAATCCAGAATCTCTGTGTGATTTCCATCTTTATGTGGCTTAACTTTTATATTACTTTTACTGTCTCTTTAAAGACTTTATTTTTTAAAGGGATGGTATAGATATGATAGGATAAAAGGGTAGATTATTGAATCTATTTTTTAAAGAGCAACAACTTGTTTAAAATGTTTTATATTACTTTTAAAGCTATTTCTTTATATAGCTGCCCATAGTCCCTTTCTTCTCTCTTCCAAGCCTACATATATTTTTACACATAATGTAAACCATTTGGAGGTTTATTCCATCTGAATCTGTCTGTTTGTGAGTTTATTGCTTTACACTGCTGCATGGCTAGGACTGAACTGGCAGCCTCGGCTGCTGGCTCTCCCCACATCAGCTTCCCAACATGGTGGAGGTAATTCACCACCAGCTCTGGGAGCCAGGCTCTCCACCAACTCTGGGAGGCAGTGGGTCTATACCTCTATCAAAGAGTGTGCAGTTTGATTAGACAGAAAAGGGGAAGTGCTGGGGGATGTCTTTCTGTACACTGTGAATATGTGTTGCTCTGGTTGGTTAATCAAGAAACTGCTCTGGCCTATGGTGAGTTAGGTTATAGCCAGGCAGGAAATCCAAGAGACAGGAAGAAGAAAGACAGAGGGGGAAGAAAAGCAAGCCAGCTGTCCAAAGAGCAAAATGTAATGGGACACAGGTAAAGCCACAGAACATGTGGCGATACATAGATTAATAGTTATGGGTTAATTTAAAATATAAGAGCTAGCTAGCAAAGAGGTCTGTCATAGACCATACAGTCAGAGTGATTATTTTATAAGCAGCTCCCTGACTATGGGTGGGCAGCACTGAAGAAACCTTCCAATGACATCTACCCATATCCAAAAGGTTCCATTCCCTTCCAAAATAGTACCACTATTGCTATGCTCTATTGCTTATAGAATAATGTCAAGGAAAAAAATACATGTTCATGTTTAGCACAGATAGTGGGTTTTTTTTATACATTTTTGATAAACGGTTGATTGATTCCATCATCATGGACCTATGAAAAGGGAGGGCTGATTAGACATGCTGATAAAACTAAGGCAAGTAGGTCTTCAGTGTAAGACTTCCTGTTAATCTGGCTCAGTCTTGGACTGTTCTTTTTTACTGCGTTGGCTGTAGCTGTGGAGGTCCCTGAATTTCTCTAATCACTTGTTACCTTTGGTTTTCCTGGAGATCTCTTTATATTTACTGTTTTTTTTTTTTGTTATTTGTATCTATTCTCCCCCACCCCGCCGTGTGTGTGTGTGTGTGTGTGTGTGTGTGTGTGTGTGTGTACTTCAGGTGCTAGTCCTCTTGTTGCCCCCCACATTGTTGTTTTTTGAGGCAGGGTCTCTCACTTTTACCTGGAATCCATCAATTAGACTAGGTGCAGTGGCAAGTCAGTAAACCCAAGAGATCCTCTTCCCTCTCTGTCTCCAGCACTGGGATTGTGGGCGTGTGCCACCAGTCCCAACATTTGAAAATCAAACTTGGCTCCTCATCCTTATACAGTAAGTAATGCCAGCTGAGCCATTTCCCTCATCTGAAAGCTTGTTACTACATTCTCTCTTTCTTTCAGTGGAGAACCTGGATCTTTGCTAATGTTGTGTTTAAAAGTGGGACTTGGGGCACTGGGGTGATGGATCAGCAGCTATGAGTGCTTATTTGTTTTCCAGAGGACCTGAGTTCTGCTCCCAGTTACCCACATCAGGTAACTCATAAGAGCCTGTGGTTCCAACTCCAGAGGATCCCACACCCTCTTCTGACCTCTGGGGGCAGCCCCCCCATATCTATGCATGCATACATACATATGAACTCATGAATACATATGCATAAATAAAAATAAATATTTAAAACCCAAAGAATTGAAAAGTTACTCTTCATTAAAATTAAAAACTTAAAAATCTGGAATGAGGAGGTCTTCTAACCTAATGTGCTTTAATCTCAGTTTTCCAATGTTTCATTGAAAGGGACTTCTTATTTATTTTTTTCTTTTTTTGCTTCATATTTTGGTTTAGACAGGAAGACTAGGAGGCTCAGACAGGGCAAGTGTTTTTCCTCAGGGTGGGAAAATTTCCCTTTAGAGAGTGCTTTTCTTCTGAAGAGGAAGAACTTGCAACGGGAAAAGCACTGATTACCTTCTTGTTGTCCCAAGGCATGGAGATAATCTGGTGTTGTGAAAAACTATTCTTTGGGAGTTGGAAAAAAAAGTTTACTCACCCCAAATAGGGAACCCAAACAGAAAAAGTACAGATATATCAGAGTCTCATTTGGTGAACTAATGTGTTTTCTTGGAGTTATGGACTTTACTGGACTGTGCCTGAAGTGTTACTTACATGAGAGGAAATGACCCAAAGACACTTTCTCACTCAAGGCCCACCCTATACTAGGTAATGGCTCATGAAAGTCAGTGCACAACTTGTTGGAGCCAACAGGTTGGAGAGTGTGCTTTCAAGCAGCTTGAGTGGTATAAGCCTCTTCTAGGCAGCTCAGCTTATCCCAAAGTGTCTCTCAATAGTCCATACTAATATATGCTTGGGGAGGGAGGAACCTACTGAATATGGTCAGTATCAGGGACTTCCTGAAGCCAGTGAGTTGTTTGCTTCCTATCCTTAATAATCTGAGAACATCCTGTTGATTCAGAGCCCTTTACCATCCTGCATCTCAACAAGCTTCCTTCTCAGATAGAAGGATTTATTCCAAGAGGAAAACTAAAGAACTGTTTAACCAAAAATGTGTTTGGTTCATTTCTGGCCAGAGGCCAGGAACACCAGAAGGGAGGTCTGGATTCTTATTATCTCTCTTCCCCTAAATGAATATACCTGCCTAGAATTTATACATGAGGATGAGACCAAAAAAACTGAAAGGGGGCACCTGGATGCATTCTGATTGGGCCAATTGAAGTGATCAGTCTCACCCAGCTTCTCCCATAAGTCCCATGAAAATCTCCTAACTAGCAGTTCATTGGTGTTCCATTTGGGGGACCCATTTCTGCTAGATAGAAATTCTGCCTTCCTTCTGCTTGGCTCTTACCTGTGAATATACAATAAAATTTCCTTCTAAGCTCATCATTCTTTGAATTCAAGAGGCAAGAATCTAGAGGACATTGAATCATTGGAAGTTTTATGTTACTATGAGCATTTGGCACCCAACTCCTGAGCTCATGCCTTCCTGAACCTCACAGACCTGACCTGACTCAGTGACTGTCAAGAATTTCAACATGGCTGATTAGAGATGTCCTACACAAAAATGATAATCCCCTCCTAAAAACACCACAAATAAGACTATTAGGAGGGCTAGTGAACCATACTCAGGGTGAAAACATATATTTATGTGCCCTGTGCATCATATTCATATTTAACCACAATTCATCTTCATATGTAAGCTTACTTATGACTGTCATAAATAACTTCATTTATAAGAAAAAGATTTCTTCCTGTAAGAATGTGTACCAAGCACAGTTTTCTCTCCTGCCTGCATCTCAGTTCATCAATTGCCTCCTTTAGAGAAATGGACCTCTCACAGGTCCTTCCACAGCAGCTGCTGAAGCAAGGCTTGGTTCTTCTCTATGACCTGCACTTGACCTATCAGGAGCCTGTGTCCTTTCTGCCAATCAATAACCTCACTGCCCTTGCTTCAGTCTGACTGCTCTGAAATTATTTTCTTTGATAAAAGAGTCCAGATCTCCACCTGCACCCGAGTGGCGATCCCTGAGGCTCTGAGGTGATGTTTCCTGTGGCTCTGCATTGATTCTGTCTCCGTTGGCTCCTGTCTCAAGGGTCTGTATGCCTTTTTTTGTCAGTGTCCTGGAAACCATAAGTTTCAGACATGTGCATTTTTTTGTGGTATTTTTATCTAGTTGAGTGCATTTGGTTTTCCTTTATACTGTTTTTTGGTCAAAGATATAATTCCAATGCTGATGTTTTTAAATATTTCTTAAATATTTGGTAAGATTGCCTCAGAAAACATACCAAGCCTGAAGTTTGTTGTTCAGTTTTTTTTATTTCAATTAGACATGAAATTGTTGGTGAACTAATACAGTATCTTTTAAAAATAGAAGTCTACTATGTTGTTCCTATGTCAAAGTTATTTATAACGTGTGTTTAAAAATAATCATCTTGGGGCTGGGGAGATAGCTCAGCATTAGGAGCACTTGTGGCTCTTTCAGAGGGCTCAGAGTCTGTTCCTAGCACCAATGGGGTGGCTCACAATCATCTGTGACTCTAGTTTCAGGGGACCCAATACATGTGTCTGACTTCATGGACACCAGGCATACTCATGGTGCACATATCTACATGCAGGAAAAAAAAACCAAACCAAACCAAACCAAACCAACAAACAAAACAACTCATTTAAATAAAATAAATCTTAAAAATTAAAAAATAACTATCCATTTTCATGTTTCTCAAATAAATGGGTAAGAAATAATAGATATATTAGTCTCCTCTGAGTGCATGTGTCTCATAAATTTTTATGTAAAAAACCAAGCCTCCAGGGTGATAACATTGAGAAGTGGGGTCTTTAGGAAATGTTTAGGTTAGGTAGCAGAGGCCTTATGTGTGGGATTGACAAGTTGTACCTTCTCTCTTGTCAAGATACATACAGGATAACATCCATGAGGCTCTCTCCAAACCCCTGGATCTTGGGCTTCCAGTTTCCAGACATGTGAGAAATACCTTTGTTACTGTTTTTAAATTGTCCAGTCTAAGGTACAGGTTATGGTGGCCCTGACTCAATCAGGTATGGTATAATTTCATACTCCCTATAGAGTTTTATACCCTGTGTTTTGTTTTCAGTGTCTTGGTTGCTTTTCTGTTGCTGTGATAAAATATCATTTAAAAAGGCAATTTAAGGGAGAGAGGGTTGATTTTGGCTCATAGTACTGATTTTAGCCATCCAGACATGCAAGTCATAGCAGTAGGAGCTTAAGGGAAGCCAGTCACTGAATCCACCACTGCCAAGAGCAATGAGCAGTGAATTCATGCAGGCTAGTGCTCAGCTCCCTTTCTATACTTTGTACAGACAAGGATCCCCTGCTAAGTGAAATGGTCCTGGGAAAAATTAAAATGGCTCTTCTTTCATGCATTAATGTAATCAAGACATCCTTTGGATACAGGACCCTGTAAACTGAGGCTTCTCTCCTGCCCACCAGTTCCTGAATAACCACTCAGAGGCTTATATTAATTATAAATGCTTGGCCAATGGCTCAGGCTTATTACTAGCTAGCTCTTGCAATGAAATTAACCCATATTTCTTATCTATGCTTTGCCACGAGGTTCATGGCTTGTTACTTCATTTTCTACACATCTTCCTTCTTCAGTGGCTGGCTGACATCTGCCCTGACTCCATCCTTCCTATTCCCATAATTCTCCTGGTCTGGCTCTCATGGCTCTCATGCTCAATCTCTTCCTGCCCAGCTTTCAGCCAATCAGCTTTATTATCAACAATGAGCATAATCCACAGTAGGACCTGGCTCCCAGATCATTCTAGAGTCTGCCACGTTGACCAGACACTAGCCATTACACTCAGTGCTGATTGTCTCTCTTCTCCGTTTGTTTTTACACTGTCTGTGTTACTAGCACAGTGAAGAGATGAACTCCTGTTTTCATGAGCTCCTCCACAGGGTTTTGCATTCTATGTTATCAGTTTTCACCCACATCAATTTAGTTCCTGGCTCTGCATGTCAATTTTTGTTTCTTATTTGAATTCCCATTCCTCAGGTTGCAAGTCTAAACAACATTTCTTACTTTCTAATATATACAACTAAATTAGTACTCTAATTTGATTTGCCAATATTCCTTGAGGAAATCTGTATGCATATTACATCTGATGAAATGTTGTTGACTTCTGCTAATTTGTGGTTTCTAGTAGGATGTTTTCTTTTGAGCAGTAAAACTGACTTCATGTATCATTTTCACATTTCCTAAAGAAGTGTGAAGGATAATTTTTTCTGTGTTTTCATCATTAATTATTAATTTTATGTTATAATAAAAGAATGCTGTGTGAATGGTTTGTTTATTGATGCTTTGTATTTAGTCATTTTTTGTAAATGTAGCACTCTTGTTAAGATTTTATTCATGTGTGTGTACATATTTGTGTATGGGTGTGTGTGTGTGTGTGGCCAGAAATCAACATGAGGCATCTTCCCCTATTAAATCTAGAACTCAATGACTCAGCTACATTGGCTGGCCGTCAGATCCTGGGATCTTCCTATTTCTGTCTCCCCCAGTATTGGAGTTACAGATGTGTGCCACCATATCTGTCTAGCTTTTATGTGAGTGCTGGGGATCTAGACTCAGGTCCTCATAATTCTGTGGCAAGCACTTATAGTGAACTCCCTCCCAACACCAAAAGTGGCATTTTTCTAACAACTGTCATCAGCATCCTTTATGCCTCTAGTCAAGAGAAAGGCCATGTAAGTACGGGTGTACAGAATGCTGATGGGTTTTTGTCTAAAGGTAATTTCTCTGGGCCCAAAAGATAACTTAAAAAAAATCATTGCCTACATTTTTAGATTTCTTAATTTCTTCCTGTAATTCTGTTGGTTTTGCCTATATATTGATTTATTTTATTACTTCGTTTTATTTTTAGTAGTGGAGATTGAATCCAGGGCCTTATTCACGCTAGGTAAGTGCTCGACCATTAAGTTACCCCCAACCCCTGCATTTTAAAACTATACTTATGTTTAAGTACTCAGTGCTCAAGATTTTCTAGTTTTCTGGTCAAGCAATCCTTTTAATGACATTTAAGGACACTTTTTCTCGATGACAATTGACGTTTTGTGTTAAGGCTTATCATTAGGCCGTTTCTTTGACTATTTCTCTCTCTTTCATTTCATTGTACGAGTCATTTTCATTGATAGTTACCGAGCACATTTGTAACTCGTCACAGAGTGGGTGATGATCACACTGGCATCATTAGCACACCCATCGCCCCAAATGTAGCCTTATTCTTTGATATTTAAAAATGATAATTGAGCCTCTCTTCAAGATTAAAACAGTTACAGGGAGCAGAACTTTTAGGATGTCCCAACCCCAAGTTACATGTTGAGTCATTAAACATGTTTTATAGAGACAGAAACTTCAAGTTTGGCCATTTTGGACATCTAGAAGATTTACATAGAACGATATTGTCACAACCAACTTTTTAGTGTGGTTCTTTCCAGGTAGCTGTTAGCCAGGGTCACCCTGTCTGTCTGGAAGAGTTATGCTCTTCCTGATAAGGGTAACAGGGCCTAATAGACTATTGTAAGCCAGGGCCATCTCCTTTGCCCTGCACAACAGAGGCTTTTCTTTCTTTTTTTCTTTGGATATAGGAAAGAGCCTAATGAGTGGCAGTCTTGGTGAGCAAATCTTACAAATTCCAAGTGCCCTTAAACTCTAATTACAGCAGAACCACAACTCTACTTCGTTATCTTTCTGTAGTTTCTAAGAAGTCTGGTTAGTATGCTACTCTGTGTTATGTTTGAGACAGCGCTCCTTCGTTTAAGCTAAATTCTACATTTGTGTAACTTAATATTTCCCAGGTAAGTTTTTTGGTAAATCCTTTTAGCATCAGGTTATTAGTTTCAGCTTTTCAGGGGTATATAAAAGTGGAGGTTCTGGAGGAAACACACAAGGTTCCTGGGGTCAGCCCTGGACTCTGGTCTCCACATTTCTAACGTGTATTCTCCCTACTCCAGCACACATGCCCCAACACCCCCCTCTGGCGCTCTGGGCAGCCAGCCTGCCCTTTATCACAGGGTCTGAATCTTCTACAGTCTTTCCTCTGAGCTCCCCTGGTGCCAACTACACCACATACACAGTAGCCCTTCGTCACAGTGTGTACGATGATAATTTCGTGCAGGTTAAGGAACTGCTTTCTGAATACTGCAAGCAGTTGGAGTTGGGAACAGCCATCTCTGTGTTTTCCAGCATCCTGCAGACATCAGGCCACTGTACACCCTATGGAGGTTGTTCTTCATCTTTTGCTTCCCAGGGTGAGCTCCTTGGGGACATGGGAGTGGGGTGGGCAGACCCTTGGAAGTGTCTGAATTTCCCTGCCCTGGCTTAGTAGCATGTACCTAGGCGTGGGGCCACTGTAAATACCTGCCAGTCTGAGGAGATAATGAAATCCATTTCCTTTTCTCCTGTACTCCTGCATATAAACTACTCTTTTCTCCCCAAGGCACCTGCCTTCATTATGACTGTAGGATTTCACAGAAACTGTGCCAGGGTGGCAGGAAGCCCTGGGGAATCCACTTCACAGATGAATATACCCAGCGACACTCCAGAATTGCTGTCGCAAACGTTGTAACAATTCTCCAAAATTTTAATCAAGTCATATAATTTTTAATGCTTCTGTATCAACCGCCTCCACATAAATCACATCCTTTTTCTTCATTGTGTGTGAAGAAACTTTCCCTGGTTCATTTGCAAGTCTGACATGCTTGGCATATAAAATTGATAGCTAGAAATGTTTAAAAAAAAAAAAAAACAGCAACCAAACCACCACCACAACAAAAATGTAGTCGATTTTAGAACTGAATCCTAGCATCCCCCAACACACACGTCTCAGCTTGAGTCATTTTATTTCCTCCAATTGTAGCGCCACACCGTCCTCTCCAAATGGAACCTCTGAATTATTAATGCTGCTCCAGCCATCTGAGTGCTCACAAAACTGTGCAGCTCAATGGTGAAGGGGATACTACATCATTGGACAGCAGCTGCCCAGAATATGCTCCAAGCCACACTTGCCTGCAAACATTCATCTACTCTATTATTCTAATCCCCAAATTTAAAGATGACTTTCCTTTGGGTTGAATTAAATTTACTTTAACATACATCTCTTAATCATGCATAGTCCCCCCCCCCCAAAAAAAAAGACGGGGCTAAGAGTTGTGCTCTCTGTGGATCTCAAAAGCTACGGTAGGAGAAAACTTACAGTCGGTAAGGCAGAGTAAGGTCTCAGGAAAACACAAGTCCATGGTCAGGTCAATGTCTATTGCAGAATCCAGGTATGGAGAGGTCACTAGAAGAAAGGCTAGGGACAAAGGCTGGGCAGATAGTTCAAAGTAGCTGGCACACGAGCATGAAGACTTGAGTGGCACCGTGGCACACTTCTATAATAATAATGTTGGCATTGCGGGGGAGGGAGGGTGGCTAGTGCCAGGCAGATCTCTGAAGCTTGCTGGCCAACCAGCCCCTCTGAAGTAGTGAGTTTCAAGTTCTCTGAGAGTCCCTGTCTAAGATATATATGGTGGACAATGATAGAGAAAGACATCTAATGTTGAACTCCAAACTCTGTTTTTTATATCCACACTCAGGCACATGCACCACACCTATACCATGTACACACACACACACACACACACACACACACACACACACACACACACAGCAGGGTGGGATTTGGCCTAGTTTTGATTTCTGAGAATGTAGACAACAGTGGAGACAGAGCTGGAGGAAGGCACTAGAAAGAGAAAATAAAATATTAGGAACAAAGTTTGGCACCCTTGGATCCAAGGGAGATACATTAATATGCAACACAGGAATTGTCATAGTGACCATGTTTCCTCCCATGGAAGCACCTTGGCTCAGGTTTTCCCGGGGGGCTCCTGGAACTGTGAAGCATCAAGATAAGAACTTGTTGGTTAAGGGAGAGAAAACTGCATGTATAAATGGGACACTCAGGATAGCAAGTGTCCTCTTCAGAGTGGCAGACATCTATCTGTTGAGGACTCCACTTACCTGAGGGCATGAGTGATCTTATTTAGGAGAAAGCCAAGCATCCTTGGCTATGTAGGATACACCCTTGGGAATTTACTTTAAAGATGATCAAATATTCGAGAGGAGAACGGGAGTTTTGTGTGTTGCTTATATCTTATTAGCCTACTGTAACAAGGAGACTGGGCTTCAGTGGAGAGCTCTGGGATCAGAACAGCCTAGTGCCACAAGAGAAAATGAATCGAGAGGCTCTAGAGTGAGGTGAGCCTCCTTACAGATATTCTGGGCATGGGATTTACACGTCTTCTTCTCTGAGAAGCGATAGGAAATTTTTTTTTTGTTGTTAGAAATCTCTTCTTTTTCTTTCAAGCTCTTGATCTAGAAAATTCTGCTCAAATTGGATTGACTTTGCTCATTGGAGTGACTGTCACACTGTCTGTGGTTAGGAATGGTTGGATCATATGTAAGACGGGCTCAGAGATGGGCGAATATCTTTATCAGTTTTGTTTTACTACATTGGCATGGCTGGTACTGAGTAACGTGGGACAAAACATATATTTAGTGCATAGTTTTAGAGGCTGAAAATTCAAAGTGGCCCCACCAGTTCGGTGTCTGGTACCATCACAGTGTGGTCGATGGCACCGGGAGAGTAGGAGACAACAATGGCCCAGTGGAGCGGAAAACAAAGGAGACTCAGAGCCAAGTTCATTCTTTTTATAACAACTACAGATGTCAGGAACTAGTCAGGTCCAGAACAATCCCATTAACTTCATCTGAGGAAGACGCTTGCTTCACCCAACTGCTTCCCATTGCTACTCCTTCAGCCTCCTGCTACCACACACAAAATCTTCCAGTCACACTCCAGCCACCTCAAGCTATCGAAACCAGGGCATGAACAAGGCCCCTAGATCTCTCGGTTCTACTCTCCTGCATGAAAGCCTCACCCTTTCAGAGTCACTCCCACAGGCTCTACTTTTGTACCTGCATCATACCAGCTGAAAGAGTGTGTCTCCCGCCAACACTATTGTAAAGCATAGGCATATTTTCCCTGGGTCTGTTTGAGTACCTGTGCTCGGTACACACCAAGTTCTCTGGTGAAGGGAATGGATACAGGCAAGAAAGGATGATTCAGACAGTTGAATGCCCAACAGTAAATAGGACTGCTGTGGTCAGCATGGCTTAGTGATTGGCCTAACTGGGAAGGAATGAAGAAATGATGGACACAAAAGATACGTAAAAGCTGGTATCCTGTGGGCTGTGAGCTCTGAGGGAGACACTAGAAGCAATTCAGTGAGTTTGTTATACAAAGCGTAATTGAGAGGAGTGGATAAGCTAGTC